CATTAACGACTGTTATTACCCCACGCATTCGATCAAATTGTTGCTTTAGGGACCCGCTAAAACAATGGTTGTAACTATCTCCCTTATTGAAGGACACTTTTGAAGGGTCGCGCGTTAACTGTCTGCAAAGTGGACAGCAAAAGTATGGCGGATCCTATGACGCAACCTTGTCCACACCACCTTGAGATAACATCGGCGGCGGGGGCACGTCCGCTTAGAGGAAGGCTAGGATACGGCAAAACGCATGGCATTTACATGCATTTCATTGATGTGGTAATTTCGAAGGAACAACTGTGCAGAGCACATCGACCATAACTGCTAACTACATAACTGCTAGAGACTCTTCTCACAAAATATGTCCAATAGGCAGATCTAGATATTTCAGCATATATCGAACACTTTCATTTTCCCGCATTTGTCGCATGCAATCGATTGTGAGATTAAGAAAGTAGCATAAGGAGTTCAACGGAACCAGAGATATACATCATTTAGCACCTATTGTGGTGAAGACTTAGGCCTGTAAAATAATATTCATATCGATAAATTATACAACGATCATCAGCGGTTTAGTAATCCTTGAGATCTATCTCGAATGTGGAGTGCGGCTGCTTCTCGGGAGCTGCAGGGTCCAATGTTGTACCTCCGGCCACGGCCTAGGAAGCGAATCCCAAATTAGTTCACGAATTATAGTAACAGAAAACAAACAGTACAGTTTGAATTCAATCTAATGGCCTCTTGAGGGTATAATTCTTATTCAAACAGTATTCTCACCTGAACCACAAGCTCAGCTTTCTGATCCGGTGTCCTATCCAGTAACATGATGATACCACCATAGGTGACTGACTTCACAGGCTTATACCTTCAATATCTCAAATTATCGACAGATTACTCATGATCGGTGATAGTTTAAGAGCAATCAAGTTCAATTAGACAAAGCCTAGTACTCGTAATTTCTGGGTAGTGTCAAAAAGCAAGAATGCACTGGTTTAGAAATCACACCCACTTCCTCGTCTGACAATAAATGTGTGACTGATTCCAGTAACTTCGGAATCTTCACCTTTACTTCATGGTGGGTGTTTTTAGCGTTTATCCTCATTCGGAAGATTTATTAGCTAATAATATATTGGGTTGTCCCATAATTCCTGTCCGATTTTTGATCAAATTCAAATTTCTTCAAGTCGAATTAGTGTCATTGCGAAATATGTTGGTATGTCAAAGAGTGCATCTAGACCGTTAGCCAGGACGTTTTGGAAGGTCAAACCCGCATCGGATAACTGAGTAGAAGTCGAAATAGATCAAGTGACAATAACGAACGATTATGCTTTATGATCCTCAAATAGACGCTGTTGCAAGGAGGACACTAGAGAAGATCAGCGCTGTGTGGCTCAGTCTGCTCTCTGCTACTGATCGGTCACTGAGCTAGAGGTTCGTCGCAGATGATTCTCGCATGTGAAAGCACGAGTAGTCATGAGAAAAGACATATTCTCGAGCTTATTTGAAATTCGATATGCCTTTCATCCTAAGTCTGTCCTTCTCAACTCTGTCGATTGAGGAACCCCTTAGTAGACCACGGCCTTGATAAGTGCCCACGGACATACTTCTACACGTGAGGTATTTAAGCAAGACGCCTAGGCGCAGTCGGTGCACAAGCACACGCCTAGATCATGAATGGAAGTGGACCAGGAGAGTGGTAGCAGACAGCAAGGAAGACGGTGTAGAACACCAATACTAAATTGTGCATTGGACACGGCCAAGAAATTCTGACCGAAGAAGATGGTATGACCCTCTGGGGGAATTTCATTCTGTGACCTCATAGCAGAGCGTTCCCTAGTTGATCACTAGTGGGGATGAGTCATGAGTTCACTACGACAACAACACGCAGCACGCCTGATGGCTACCTCGCAGCCAGGGCTCACCAGCTCAACAAAAGCCCAAACTCCGTGGTCAGAAGATGATTTGTTAGATTGAGTGGGTCATCCGTTTTCACAGTCGTTTTGCTATATGCGGACAAGTATTGCGAATGCCATCGTGGAACAGCTCCCGGGGTTGGCCGCAGTAGTGGGAGAAAACCGTCCTAAAACGTCCCAAAATCCCCTTTCTCCGAATAGACGCTCGACCTCACATTGCAAAGATAACTCGACGTTCTGAGGGAAACTGGCTGGACCACGATACCATGTCCATCGTATAGCCCTGGCATCACTCCATCGGGCTATCCCTTTCACAGTGCCTTGAGCAGCAGCGGCGAGAGAAAAGTCACCAAATACAACCACTCCAAAAACGACCTTGCTGAATTCTTCAGCTCATAGCTTCACCCATTCTAGGAGGAAAGCATCCAAAGGTTCCCTGGTGAATGGATGCATATCGGTGATTATGATAATGGTTATATTTTTGATCAATTGGTTTTTGAGAAAGATAAAACTCGATGAGAAGAAAGTGTCGAAATTCGGACAGGAATTATGGGACAACCCAATACAAAACCTCTTAGTGAATTTGTTGAGCTGATCCACAAGCTGATAGTATATCTTTGGGAATAAGTGACTAACAGAACAATGAAGTATAAAGAATACGATTTACCTCGAATTTTCCATCATCGAAAGTGTTTTCAATTGTAGGCGTACTACCCTAGCAGGATTCTCGATGGTGTGCGTGGGTGGCTCGTTATCGGGCACAGGTTTCCTCAAATCACAATGGGATGAATTTTCTACAGTAACTTAAGGTAGGCAATCGTGAAATTTCGTTGCTAAAAGTGAAAAAGAGAAGTCTCTAATCACGTGATTATAGCTAACTTTTCTTCTTCCTTTGCTGGCTTCGGTTCCTCATCCACTTCCATCTTCTCTTCACCCTTCTTGGCCGGCTTTTTCTTGTGGGTGATGGAGAGAACAGCGGTCTCCACCTTAAGAGACAATAGTTTAAATTTCTATTCCAGGTTCTGACCATGATGACTAGGTAGTGCAATGCAATGAATGTACCTTCTCATGTTCTTCCTTTTTCTTCGATTCAAGCGGTGGAGGGTACGCAAATAATGATGCTCGGGCGTTGCACTTGAACTCAATTTTAGGCATCTAGAAAATTTTCAAATTCATATTGCATGAAAAATTCATACACGCATGTGAGTCTCTGAGTAACTGGTCTGTCAGCTTATGAAAGATCACTAAATCATAAACGGAGGTAAAGAGATTCAGCAGCTACATCAGAGAAGTTATTAAAAATAAAGGCCACCTGCAGATCCTTCGTAAGCGCTATCAGGCAAGTTGGCTTACACGCCAGCGAAATAAATGGAACCATGGAGTGCCAATACCAGAACTGTTGGAATGCCATCATACCGACAACGCCTCCCATGTCGATTGTGCCGGAGCGATTATGGAGGGCAATAGTCATATTACGGCCACCGACATCAAGAATACCCTAAGCCAAATCACCAATTGTCAAATTTATAGCTGATAAACAATTGCAAGGAAATAGAACAAACATGAATTACCTGGGCAATGATCGCTCCAAATTTAGCCATCGAATCTTCACCTTTCTCTGTAGTCATTTTAGTCAACTGTTTGCGGAACTCGCCGACCTAGAAGGATTCATTTGAGAAACTGCAAGAACAATTGAAGCAAGTCCATTATACCCAGTTAGAAGACAAACCTTTGGGCAACCGACGTCGGTCTGCTGTACGTAGATAAATGAAAGGGCAATAACAGCACCCTGTCGAACGTAGTTCTCTTTTGCAGAAAGTAGAGGCTCTAGTAGGGATATCGCTTCCTAGAGATAATTTTGAAGAAAAAAAGCATATGAGAATGAACTGACCGAGAAAGGCTCTATGTCCATAGCAGTCGTTAAATCTCTCATGCAAACGGAACATAACGAATAAGTAATACCTTATATCCTGTTCCAGCGCAAGCTATTCCCAAAGCCATAGCAGCTCCGTATCGAACATGGCTATTGAAATGTTCGACAAGCATCCCAACGTAATCTTTGCAGATCGCGGGGTTGCTTAAACAATGAACTTGGAGAAAAGCTGAACACAACCATGGAGAACGACACACTCGACGTCCAATGAATGAAGCTTGGCATCGCGCGTGGTATTCTTAAACTTGTTTGACGAACCGAAATCTCATAAAATCTTCACTGGACTATGTGCTTAGCGGTATTCAATCCTTCCCCCAGGGGGATGCATCCGTCCTCTGATTCAATCTTCGGGGGAGACAAAAAGGGTTGGCGTCATAGGATCGTGTTCGCTGCTCTGTTTTCTATCTGCCAACAGTTAACAGCGCTGACCGACCTCCTCTGTTGAAGCAGCTCCTTTTTCCCCAGAGGCTCTAACTGGCGATGGCGATAGAACACAAGACGGCGTGGCGATCCTATGCGCAATCCGATTTTTTTTGTCTGCCCCTAGGACTGAATCAGAGGAGAGGATGCATCCCGGGGGAAGATTTGAATACAGCCCATGATCGACCTGAGAAAAAGTACTCATCAGTTGCAGGCACTAGGAAGCAGCACCAGAAAATCCTCCATTGGGACGGAAGTTTTTCGATGAGAGAATTGGTGTTGTGGAAATTCGGCGGAGGTCACAATCAGAATCTTCTTGTGTATAGTGAAGGTGCTTGTGATCTAGGTTTACTTCGACTTCATTTATGACGACAGTCCAAATAAGGTCGAAATACTACCAGAACAAAGCACCTTGACAGGCTCCAACAAACAACTTGCGAGCTCTACATACGATGACTAGCATCATTTATTAGACGTCGTACTCATGCGCTATATTAGCAAATTAAACAATGAGAAATTTCCTATAATAAGGTAAAAGAAACTCACTTGCTCAACAGGAACCCAATTCCCATCACAGCGAATCTCTTCACGTCGTTGTTTGGGTCGGTAGCTACCTTAACAACAAGAGTGAAGAATCTAGGTCCTGATAGATAGGTTCAAAGCTTACTGTTTACCTCGCCTTAATTGAGGAATGGGCTACAGGGAGAAAAATCCCGAAGCTATAGTCAAACTTAAACATGATTTCTAGAGTGAAATAATGATTTCAGAAATAAAAAGCGACCAAACACCGAGCTCCCCGGTTTTCGCAGCATATCTTATACACGCCATATGTTGAACATTCGCATGATTAATCGCAGGACAAGTTTGAGCACGAATTACGAGATAAATAATATCACGTTTGATAATGACGCAAAACTGAGCCTATCAGCATCTCAGATTCAGGAGAATACCACAGCATAATTATGGAATAGATTCAGATGTCTCACCTTCTCCAGAAGTCGCGAAACAACGTTCGCACGTCCACTGCCAACGTAAGCCATTGACATCATCGCTATTCCTGTCGACCGTAGCATAGCATTGCTCTTGACATCAACCAACTGGGCTATGAAAGACTCAGCCTCATCTTGCCGACCTAAAAATAATTTTTTCAGAAAGCACGAATAATTCTTCAAAAATGATGTCATTCACACTCATGCGGGCAACGGTCCGCACGCGATTGTTTCAATGTGAAGGTGTAGATCAGATCATTTTCATTGAAAAAACTCAACCAAATCTGTATGAGTGCATAGCAAACCTCTCTCCGACAAAACAGCCTATAGATTTTTCATCAACTACAATCATTTCTGGATTTGCAGAAGAAAACATGAAGAGAAAAAGCGTAACATCCATGACATTATTCGCCATTTTCAGAGCGAACAACTAAACTTAGAAAAAATTAGTGCCGTGAAGAACAGTTTTGATCAAAAGCCCACTACAGTTAGTGCTCACGCCAAAAGAACAATGTACAAACTAGGGGAAATATCAAAAAGTAAATCACTTATAGTACGAGAGAACGGACGAAGCGCGTGCCTGAAGTTCATTTACAACTATTCGCTGGAAATGATCGCCCTGGTGGCACTCTGATCACTTCAGAGAAATAAAAGTCTTCAGATTGTTCGCAAGCACACCAACATAGGTAAAGCACTAAAAAAAGATCGCTGGAATGGATGTTCATGAAAAAGGAAATGGCGAGGGTAGATGCGCGTATTAGATGATAGGTGAATGCTACCAACGGTGTCAACGACCTCTGTGTTAACGGTAATGAGCCCACTCCGAAATCAAATGGCGAGAGCAGGGAGCGATTTCTGGGGTTTTTGACCGCTACTGTGGGATTTTTACACCGACGCCCCACTTTCCAACCTTACTCTTATTTTTCGTTAGCATTAAACCTATCGCGATTCCCGCCCTCAAATACTCAAGATATTTGGTTCCACACTACATTAGTCCAATAAATGAAAATTGTCAATGTTTAACCGTACTTCCTATCTGTTCGTGCACAGACTCTTGCATTCCGAAATAGCTCCACTGTCAGATTTTTAGCAAAATTATCACGTACGCATCAATGTAGGAGCAAAAATGTTACCACCGATAACAGTCTTCTGTTAATAACTACAAAATGAATCAGAGAACGATCAACGGTCAACAATCGTGCATGAGAAAAAGTTGGCTCCCAAAAGGATTAAGAGCATTGGTTTCATTCGGCTGCGGTTTTAGTTATTTCGCCTCAAAAACAATCACACGTCTGAAATTGGCGGCATCCCAACTTTCATTGCATGGACGTACCATAGGCCAACAAGGAGATTCCTGTTCGCAATCCTCGTTGAATTTTATCGTGTTGAGTGTCGCAAGTGTACTGTACCATATCTTGGAATGCAGCAGAGTTCAAACTGCCAACCATCACCAGTCCCATTGCGAGTCCTGCTGCTTCTCCCGAAACAGCATCGTCCAAATAAAGGGCATCACGAAGTTGTAGATATACCTAGAATGCTTATGTCAACATGTGTTCACATCAGGAAATCACCCCTCACATCTTGATTTTGTGTTCCCATAGCAGCAAGTCCAAGCCCGAGACACGCTCCGTGACGGACTGCTGATGTCTGTGCAGCCGACAACTGCTCTCGAAGATACTTAACACAGTCAGCAGTTCCGTGATTGGCATGAATAAGACCTACAATAGATTTGAATTAACAGCGAAAGAGGCGACCAGTGTGCAAGTTGTTACGTGGCTTCGTGAACTCTTTCCACGACAGCACCCTTGTAGCACTATGTGCCTTTTCGAGACCAACGCAGCTTCAGGTAATTTCTTCAGCGTCTTTGTTAACGGGTTCCGCAAGTTTATAAATTTGGTACAATACTTTAGTTAACGTATTGTAAGATATTTTCTTAGTGGTTAACAATCCTTCATGTTAATGAAATTAAAATGATGCTCGCAATAAGAAGTTGATGCCATACCAAGAGCGAACAATGAACCGCCTTCTTTGAATCCGTACTGATCAGGTTCTGTTTTTGGAAGGTACGGGTCTAGAAGCTTCATCGCTGCTGATTCGTGGCCCTGAAATAAACAGAAGAAATTCGATAAAAAATTACGACAATCAGATGGATGTAAATGCCCATTCGGAAAGTCTGCAATATGACAATAAATAGCATTCACCTTGTGAATAAGTCCTAGGGTGGCTACAGCATTAAATTTGTTCCAATTTGTAGCTTTGCTAATCCAGTCGAGATTATCTCTGAAAATTTTTATCATACAAAAACACAATGAGTTCGAATCCATCAGTGTTTGCCTCACCGCAGAAAATCATCGCATGTTGTTCCAAGATGCATAAGACCGTTCGACATTAAAGTAGCATTATGTGCGGTAGCCGTTCTCACACAGTCCTTCATTTCCTGAAAGTGAAAACGGCCGCTTCAATGGACAAGAAGCAAACTAAAAAAATGCCTAACACACAAGCCAGTCAAGTCGCCAATAAAATAAGGGAGAAAATTCTAAATAAGATACTATGAGACGCTAACCTTCAGAATCAGCATGTCTGTGTGGTTATTCTTGATGAGGAACTGCATATGGTGCTTTACTGTTTCTTCACCACGTAGAATCGCTTTAAGGCGAGCCATTGGAGCAGACTAAAGTAAGAAACTTACTACTGATGATATTAAAAGAAAGACGAAAAACATGCTATCCGCTGCACTGCTTAACTTTTCCCAACAATTCACTAGCATCATACTCTCTAGAAATTTTCCATTTCATTAACACACTCTGCTACTTGGTGGTTTTTTTGAAATTTGTAACTTCACTTTCTAAAGTTTCCAGTGCTAAATATGTAATTGGATGTAAAAATGAGCTCAAAGGCTTGACAAAAATGACGCTCATTTATATCTGATCGAAATCAGACCTCTTCCGGTTTCGGTGTTCCTTCCTTCTCTTCTTTAGGAGCTTCGCCAGTTGGAGCGGAATCGCTTTCTTTTTTCACCGTTGGAGTACTGAAAATTACGACACTTCTGATCAACTATAACAAGAGAAATCAAATAATCTGAACATGCGAAAAAAAATGTCAAAATACGTTGCAGAATAATATGAATTCAACCTTGGGGATGGTTGGTGAAAACTAGCGTAGGTATTCAACACTTGGGTGTTGAACTGCTGAGAGGCGTTCTCGTATAAATCGAAGGCAATTTGATACGCGATGAGGTCACCGTTCTGAAAGGCATAGAAATCATAAATGACAACCATATAATAAAAACAACAAATCCTGGGCTGTTGCATTTCCGTAATTTTTTGATAAAATAAAAAAAATTATTCATACCGCGTGAGACATGAGCCTATCGAGAAGTCTGCCAATATCCTCCGGCCGGTTCAACTTGATGAGACACTAGAAACTTGGTATTAAACTTTTCTAAAGACCGCGTTCGTTACGCAACTCCTCACAAAGGCACAAAATAAGTAATTACTAGGTGAACGGAAAAAACTCTGCGAGCAGCGTTTTGGAAATTCTCTTCTACAAATCAAGTAGGCTAACAAGAGATATAGAAAATACGGCACTATTTACCCTTTACTGCCACACTCGTCAAACTGAGCCGGATTTTGATCGAAATTCGTCCATGACTAAGGATTTGGCTAGAAACTTGTCTCAGGGGTATTTCGACCCGTAGAACACGAATATCACACCGGTTTAGCGCGAAAACGCTTGGCGCCCGCGCCACAGGCGCCGGCGCTATCACAACAGTTTTGCGCGGGCGCCGTATAACAGGCTACAAGCTCGCTCGCAACGAACTATGTGATAATCATGTCGTATAGG